ATGTCGATCGTAAAGACAACTGTCTAGTCCTGTGTCAGAACACAGTCTTTAAGGAAGCAGCAGTACAGGTCTGTTTTTACCACAGGTTTAATATCTTAACATGTTAACTGCGAGAAATAATGTGTTTGGAATTGGCGGAAGAAGGTGCCGTATTTCTCGACTAACGGTTGTGCGTGCTTCGAGGATTCCATCATCATTCAGACTTCTGTAAAGTTAATTCACAGCTTGTTCTATATATTTTATTAGTAATTTTGACTTGGGTTGTTCATTATCATCTTTCCATCTCATTTAATGTATGAACTGTGAAACAGTGTTCTTAAGTAGCTTGAAAATAAATCTTTGTTACGAACAGCAGGAGAACTCCTGTAATGATTAAATGTTTACAGTATGTGACAATAAGTTATTAACCAAGATGAACATGGAAGTAATAATGCGTAAACAGTATAAGAATAATGCGTAGGGGCTTTGTAGTTTGAATATGACTTTTGCAGTATCATTCAGATGGCTGGAAACTATGGGCCTTTAGAATTAAGCTGTGAGCAATAAGAGCTTAAAACATTCAGTTTCATTGTTAATACGAGGTCAGACAACTGTAACTCGAAGATTTTAAAAATCTGATAAATCATTCTCTTCATTCATAGACTATTGTCTGTTCTTTGTGTGGAGAAGAAAAGGAGAATACATGATGGGGACGGTGGGTCTGTCGGCACGTTTTGTTTCTGAAACTACTGAAAGGGCTTATGGAATTTCATACTTTTAGCGTGGTGAATATTTAAGGAAATGCAATAGAAATGAATTCCGATTCTTTGCATCGTATCGGTAGTGCGATTATCTTCTCGGCGATAAATAAATGTCGCCGCTAATGAGGTATATTTACTTTTGTTTCTTGTGCTTTCTTGCATTATGCGTTATGTATTGATTGTCGCAATGTGTATTTATGAAATGTGCGTTTAATTTTCTCATTTCTTATGCAGGCAAAATATCCATTGGCTTTATGTGGGGAGCTTCGTTTTGCTGATCGCAAAAACAGGTCTTTCAAGACGTACCTCTTTGAATTTAGCCAAGCAAAGCTTTGCTATTACAAAGACAAAAGAGTAAGTGTGCCAAAAAATATTAAATAATTGAGAAATAATTAGATTATTTGCCAAATTAAGGGTACTGACGATGACAATTCTCTGAAGGTGCTTTTTTTTTAACATCAGGATATAAAGTAATTTGTTATGTCCCGTGCTTTTAGGGATCGGTAAAGCTCGGTGAGTGGAAAATTGAAGACATCGTGTGGTACTTGGGATATGAGCACAAAAGAGATCCACAAATGAGGTACGTACTTTGCTTTCTTCAGGGATATAAATTCCATAAATTATTAGGGTAGTGTTTTTCAGTCCTTCAGACCTCAAAAATGCTGACAAAACTCAAAAATAAAAGTTGCAGATGTAAAAGACTTAACCAGTGTTGAATCAACAAGTTATTTTTTTAATGTTTTTAAGTCTCAAGAAGGGGTCGTGTTTCTATACTCGGGTAAATACAAGAAAAGCATCACTTGTTGTGTCCATAGAAATATAAAATTTATGTGTAATACATGTAACACGTGATAGTCTTTAATTGCGAGTCATAATTTTCTCCTTTTCACGGATTATTAGTGAGTCATAGTAACAATATTCAGTCAGTTATAATGTAATTTAATGTTGCAGATGGGCCATTACTTTTATTGACAAACACAGCAAGCCGGAAAGGTAAGTTAACTGTTGATGCATGTTATTTGTGTACCATTAATATACAGGAACATCTGCTTGCATGAAACCTGATGTGTTTGGCTAAATTTGTGCATTTAAAAATATTCCGCATGTCCTTTAAATAAATTTATATTCTCCTGCGAAGTTGTAAAGCTACTTTTGAAACACGGTGTATACTATGTGTCATGTCTAGCCATCTTTTGGGTTTTAGCACTGTGTAGGTTGGTAGAAGTTTACCAACTAATCGTTACAAAAATGTTGTGTAGGTTAGTCATTTGTTTTTGGATGTTCGTGGATTGAAACTCGGGACCAGCCAAAGTCTTGTTTTCCCCCCCATAAGAAATGAAGGATTTCATGAAAGAATATACATCAGTGTGACTTGAACTATAAGTCAATAGGTTTCTTTCAGTTTCAGAATTTATCTGATTGTCAACATTGAGGTCAGCGTCCGTGTCTGTAGAAGATTGTCGTCTATAATAGTACTGTTTCTCTCATTCTGCAGAAACCTTTTAATAAAAGTCCTTTTTATTCGAGTCTGTATTCTCTTACCTGTATGTTTAGTTCATATATTTGCAACTCCTGTCGTGTAGCTGTTTCGTTTTTCGTACTTGTATTTCATTCTTTTCTCGCGCATGTCATTCCAAGTTGCGCAACTATAAGTTTGCACAGGTTCTGCCACTTCTTGTAAAATCTTGCTTCATTATTTCATCTTCCCTGTCGTAAATACATCATGGTCAGATGCTTAACACTCCTGGGTCTAAAATTGTTCATGGTTATACTCACATTGTCCTGAAAAATGTCAGGATAGTACAGTAAAACATAGTATAATGTAGTACAATTAAGAGCCCAGCCTCCTCTAATGCAGCAGAACATATTAAAGTCTCATTTTATACAAATGTCCACTAATAGTATCTCACACTAGTGTTTTAAGTGTAAAATGCAAAGGATTAAAAGATGTTTGCTGTAATTTGATTGAATTTTGTATAACAGGTCAAAAGAGAACCCGTATTTTGGATGCACAATTGCTGGAACATCAAAAGAAGAACAGGTTCGATGGATCGGAGCCATGTTGGCTGCAGAACATCCACAGAGTTTGCTACCATCTCCTGTGCTTCTGCAGTAATGTGGGTGCGTGAATTACAACTATTAATCCTGCAAACTACTCGGTAGTGGTGCTTGTGACTTGCATACAGATTGCTTGGATGTCGGTTTTCCTCGGTGTCTCCATATAAACTATGGTATAGTATCTTAAAATAGGTCTTGATTGCCTCATGTCACTTCCCTCTATCTTTGTCATTGATCGTCCTATCTTATCGCATTTGTCGCTGTGTAACTTCAATAATTTATACAGATTGTAAAATAACTGACATTTAGAAAAGAATACGAAGTGCACACAGTCAGAAAATGGTCATTTATTGTAATCTACATCTGTGAACTCATTTTTACTTATTAAAATATAAGAACATGGGGTTCGCAGTGGCCGCGCGGTCTGAGGCGTGGGTCTCGTGCTGCTTGGTCGCAGGGACGTTGGGTTCGAATCCCACTCAAGCCATGGATGTTTTTCTGTGTTGCCACGCGCTGATCCCACGTCCAAGGAGTCTACCGAATGTCCATAGATCAAGCCAACTGGAAAAAAGTTGGGGACCCGTAAAGGGTACCGGAAAGTGTACAGACATTGTTAAACCGGAAAAAGAAGAAAAATATAAGAACATGTGAAAAATTAGTCTGCCCTCCTATTTTTAAGTCTTTCCATCAGAATAGAGTTGGTTTGGTTCATGCACATATTATTAAGAGAATAATTACGCGTATTGAATTGGACGAATAATTAATAGGAGGACTGCATCGTAGGTATTAACATTCGTATTTGAAATTACTAAATCATATTTTTATACATCGGTGACCTTGAACTTTTTTATTCGCGTAAGAGGAGCCTCGGACTAAGGAGTTACAGAGCCGTTGGTGTAAGTGGCCAAAAAATTGATGTCTTTAGAAATGTTGTTAGATGTTGAATGAAATACTTTACAACACGGCCTAATTTGTGTCATTGTAATCAACGTTTGCGTATTTTACTACCATAATTTTCTGCAATTTATGGGCTCTGTCATGGGCTGTCTGTCCCTCTTACATATAAACTAGGCTGTGAATTATAGGCAGACTCCCAGTATTCTTAGTAGTGAAGCGTCTAGAGGAGGAGATGAAAATTTGGGCTTGAGCTACGGCATTGAAGACGGAGTTTTCACTCATGCCTAAAGAACATGACCTTAAACATCAGTAATTTCTTTTTGTTTTGAACGTTGTCCATTGTCAGGATAAATAGGTATATTGGTATATGTTTTAGGACAACTATTTGAATGCCTTGTTACATAGGGCATGTTACAGATTATATGTATTTTATATGGACAATACAGTGTATTTGCTACCACCTAAGATGATATAACTGAACTACAGGATAAAAAATTATGTAGCAATTCCTTGGAGGTTTACTGACTGACTGACTGACTGACTGACTGACTGACTGACTGGAAACTGCTTGCTTGCTGCTTAAATAATGGCTTATTGATGTTATAATATGTGCCTTATATAATATATGAAAGATTAAATTTCAGAGGTGACAGGACCATATTCAGAAAAGTTTGTAGGCTCTTGAACCCCTGTGAAATTTTCGTGATGATTTGAAAAAACTGTGCTGTATAAAGGTGTTAACTGAGACGAAATGTATTTGGAAAAAGTTTTATTTAATGATGGGCCAACATCGGTTATTTAATCTGTGAAATTAAGTTTAAGTCGTGGGCATTAAAAAAACAAAATTTTATATATGCTGCTGGATAACAGTTATTATTTCATGTGAATAGTTTATAAAACCATATAACTTGAATTAGTGTACTACAGGTGTTGTATTAAGTAACTTAATGATTTATAGTAACAAGTATCCGTACTGAATTATTCAGTGTGGATGCTCACACTGAATAATATTGAGAATTCTTGATCATATTGGTCAAGGATTGAAGAAAGGATGAATCGAGCTTTTCTCAGCAAATTTTCATTCCAGTTTCTCGCTTTTAGAACTTATACATGTAAATATTTGTGAATGGCGAAACCTGTGAAAAGTATCGTGCACTGAAACAGAATGTGGGGTAGGTGAAAAGAATATTGTAGAATTTCTCTGACTTGAACAGTATGAAGTGTAAAGTGATGTAGTGTTACCCTTAATGAATGGAAATTCATTAACTCAGAAAGGGAAGTTAAATACAGAAATGTGAAGGAAGTAAGTCAAATGAACATGTATTGTTTTGTGCGCTTCTAGAAGTTTTATCTAAGAAGAAACATTTCTGTCACAAATGGCAAAATGAATAAAATATGTGCATAATACTTTTAATAAAATTATGAAGACTGACTTACGATTTTTTGTGCAATATTTTTTATTAGGCGTAAGTCACTGTGGATTATGTCGTAAGCAGGTTTTACTGTATAACTAGTTTATATCTGTAAGAACTGATTTCCGAAGTTAGATGATGTAATATTTCTGTTCTTAATGCAGTGTGCTTTTTTGCGCAGCGGGACTTCCACCTGTAAATTTGAAAGTGCTAATTGGTAATCGTAATTTGAGTTACTTAACGATTCTTTATCAACTGCAGTAACCAATTAATAATTCACAGTCGTTCTTCTTTCGATACTATTTGAATAACTCAGAAATCAGTTCGTCTTCTCCTTAGCAAGTCGGCCACGCTATTGCTTGCACTGACTTGTTAATTTCATTTATTGTGTGAAGCGAAAAGAAGGAAAACAGAATACTGGCGCTGTTATCGAAGGACTCCGTTAAATTGGCTCTCGTGCCGTTTCATAATAATAACAGAAATCAAGGTAGAAGTGAAATTTTGTTGCTGTATGCAAATGGGCCTGATGTTGAGTTACAAAGTTTGGTCATTAGAATGAATAAGAAATACGCGGTCGGCAGTCTGTCGCTAGCAACAGCTTTTGTGTACATCGTACCCAGTCACGAATATCTGTTTTTAATTGTTTTTGTAGCTGTTGATAATTTTAGCCTGTTATGTTGGATATACATATGAATAAATATTTTAGTATCCTCCACTGTTACCAACTGTTCTGACTCTTTAAACTTTCTCATAATGAGTGATTGACTCTCGTCATACTAATATGTCTTCTTTAGACATAGGTGGTTCGTATTTGACTTAAGTTTGATGAAAGTGTGCCCATAAATTTTCTTCTCTGTTTCTCACACTGGGTAGTCTTCATTATGTACTCTTCCTCCAAATGTACACATTTCTACAAGCATAGAAGTTTTTAAGATAGATTCAAATTCTATGGATGAATTGAGAAGATGAAATTTCAAGGTCATATTTTAGCTGCCTTTATATTTTTATATATCATATTATAAATACAGGAGGATTTGAAGTGTGTTGCATAGGAATGAAGGCAGACTATTCAGATTATTATATGTTACATATTCATAATAATATTTATACATTTTGTAAAGTATGTTTTAAAAGTGCCCTCTTCATCTAGCCCAGGGTTCTTGAAAATGGTGGATAGAAAATAAGGAAGGAAAACCAATTAATTTAAATGTGCATTATGTTTTAATACATTAACGGGACATTTAACTTGTACAGTGTTTTCTGTTAGATGCAAAGGGTTCATAGTATTGAATGAAAATCCAAGACAATTTGTTGTAAATTGTCAAAACTTTTACGCGTTTGTTGCCAAAATGGCAGCTACCACTCAAGTAGGCCAACTGTTCTAGTACTGAAGATGGGTGATTCTGTCTTATCTGACTTGTTGAAGTATCGTAACGTCTTTTAACATGTCGAAAAACGTTCACAGATTATATAAAAAGTTTTGAAGAATCATTATGTACAAATTTTTTTTTACATATATTTAATAAAATTCATGTTGTTTTTTTGATTAATATGTAAGCTTGACTGCTTAGTCCATTTAAGTGCCTGGCAGTGAATGGGTTGACAATTTTTCTACAGTTCTGTGTGCCTTATCTGACAGATTAAGAACCACTAAACCCCGTAACTGCATTTTATTTAATTAATTAGCTGTTTCGTAAGTTTCATCACATTTCATGAATTTCTGCTGCCGTTCTGAGTCGTTATACCTGTGTTGAAGTAAATTACAAGGGACGTTCAGAAAATCTTCGCAGCGCTACATACTGCCATCAGGAGGAGACAGCTTCTGTGTTACAGACTGAATCTTGCGGAATGCGGAGTTTGTTCTCGCAAGTGTACGATAAGTGTTTTTGTGTTGTGTAATGGTGTGAAGCATGGAACATTTATGAAATCAGTAAGTACTGTCGAACATCCTTCATGAAAATTCATGTTACAGGAGGGCAGATGCTTCGCGTGGCGAGATGGGTGTGTGAATTTTGAAGTAGGAAAATATAGGGAGAATGGCGTGACCAAGTCTCTTGCAAACCTTTGTGACACGTGTTACGCCGTTGAGCATCCTAGGTTTTGATGACACAATGTTACTTGTACTCGCTACGTGTTTTTACGTTGGTTTCACATTGCGCGTAGTGCTTCGTGCTTTTATACGACAGAACATTTGTTCATACGCTGGCTAAACCTACTGTTTAATGTTTTACGAATTGGTCTCGTCATGCAGAAGCTGTTTCCCGCTGACACTAATATGGAGCTTTGCATTACTGCGGTGTTCCAAGTAATTTTTGAATGACGGATGTAAGATACTATAATTGTCTATACAAGTTCCTTAAAAGTATTTTTGTAGTGTTTTTTTTATGAATTGGTGTTGTTATTTACACTGTTATATGCTTATATATTTATGTATCATACAAACTATAAAACATGTTTATATTTTTAACACCATTAAAATGTATAAATGATCAATAAAGCCTCATTAATATGAATTAACATACAATTAAATATTGTATTTTGCTACTATAGATGAAAACAGTCTTTTCATGTGAAATACCACAAATTCCAGTTGACACTGTCACAATAATACAATCATTTCTTTGTAAGGAAAAGTCATTATTTGATTTCAGATGACTTGAGTCATGCGTGTGTAACATTTGGTGTTGAGGAATGACAAAACTAGAATAGGTCATTTTTATGTCTTGGATATTAAATATAGCGGAGTCCT